GAAAATTAGAATTAGAACTACAAACAGACCCACGAAAGAAAATACTTAAGAAGCAAATGGAGATAATAAAACATAAACTAAACCTAGCTGAGATGGAAATAATGGCTCAACAGATTAAAAGGGCTAAACAGAACTTTTTTTGAAAATGCCAATAAGCTGTGGAGATGTTTAGCATATAGACTGAAAAAAGAAAAAGAGAAAAAACTGTTAAGTTGCAATTTACCCAAAAGGTAAATTACAGTTTCAAAATGACCCAATTTAAAAAATTATCAAAGACTTTACGAGATACTTTACAATGTAGAGGAAATTTCAAAAGAAAAAATACAGCAGTATTTTAAAAAAGCAGACTTACCAAAAATCTCAGAGAATACTCAAAAAATATTAAATGGAAAAATATCAATGATGGAGATTACTGAGGCCATAAAAAGGCAAAAAAAATGATAAGACTCCAGATCCAGATGGACTACTTGCAGAGCTTTATAAAGCATTACAAGATATACTAAGCCCAACATTGAAAGAACTGTGCAATGAAATATTTTTGAGGCTAAAATACCAAATACATGGACTGAAGCTAATATCACCTTAATATCTAAAGAAGACTCTGACTTAACACAAATAAAAAATTACAGACCAATATCGTTATTAAATGTAGATTATAAAATTTTCACCTCAATAGCAGAAAGACTAAAGAAATTTTTGACCGAATTTATACATACAGACAAAATGGCTTTTTACCTAAAAGATAAAAAATAATTTAAGAATGATCCTAGATGTTTTAGAGTACTATGAAATTCATCCAGAGATTATAAGGATGCTTCCTATTATCATATTTGGTGGTCATGCAGAGAGATAAAAGCATTTTGGATCAAAATATGGTGGAATATCCAGAGAATTTTTAGAAGGAGGGTAACATTTACTCCGCAATTATTTTTGTTAGGCATTGTTACAGATTGTGATACAAAGGAGGTTGTATTGATGTTAAATTTGATTACAGCCGCTAGGCTGTTAGTAGGACAATATTGGAAGAATGAATCTTTGCCTACATTGCAGGAATGGTTTCTTAAAGTAGCTTATCTGGCGGAAATGGCAAAGATTTCGGCTTTCTTAAAGCAACAAACGCAAGAGAAGTTCCTTGCTGTTTGGGACAAATGGATAAAATTTATACAATTTAGAGTGGGTATACAAAAATATCACATAGCTTTTTTATAAGTTTTATTTTTATATATATATATATAGATATTTTTTATATATATATATATATAAATATAAATTTTCTAATTTAATTTTTTATTTTTATTTCTTAATTTTTAATTAAGCCTATATTCTGCTCTGGGAAGCTCAGGGGGGGGAAGGGAGGGTTTTTGTGAGGGGTGGGGGATGGTTTTTTTTTTTTTTTTATATATATATGTAATGTTTAGTTTCTTTTTTGTATATGTTGTCTTTTGTTTTGTATTGTTTTTGTTTTTTTGTAAAATTTATAAAACTTTCAATAAAAAAAAAAGAAATTCATCCAGAGAAACAGATGACTTTAATATTTCTAGATGTACAGAAACCGTTCAACAACATAAACTGGCAATTTATGTTTCAGCAACTAGAGGAAATGGATTTTGGAGAAAACTTTATAAATGTAATTAAAACAATTTATCATAAACAAACAGCCAAAATAATAGTAAATGGAGATTTTACAGAAAATTTTGACATTAAAAAAGACACAAGACAGGGATGTCCTTTATCTCCATTATTATTTATATTAACACTGGAAGTATTGAGCAGAAATATCAGGCAAGATATAGAAATTAAAGGATTGGAGATAAAGGACGAGAAATATAAATTACAAGCATTTACAGATGACTTGGTTTTCATATTGGAAGAACCACTTGAAACAAGCGCTAAAGTTATGGAGAAAATAGAAGAATTTGAAGAAGTAGCAGGGTTGAAAATAAACAGAAAAGACTAAAGTGCTAACTAAAAATCTAACAGAAAAACAAAAAAAATCAATTAGCAAAAAAACCAAACCTTCAAATAGTTAAAAAAGTTAAATATTTGGGAATTTATTTAACAGCAAGATGTGCAACAATAAAAGAAGACAATTATATAAGATTGCTAAAACTAATAAAATTGGATCTGGAAAAGTGGAAAAATTTACAACTTTCAATGTTGGGGAAAATAGCAATAGTGAAAATGAATATCTTACTGAAAATACTTTTTCTATTCCAAACAATACCTGTAAGACTGGGAAAATTTGATGAATTAAATACAACAATATTGAAATTTATCTGGCAAGGAAAAAGAGCTAGAATCAGACTGAAAATGTTACAGGAAGCGAAAGAAAGTGGAGGATTTGGACTGCCTGACTGGATGTTATACTACCGAGCAACTATATTAACATGGCTTAAAGAGTGGATAATGGTTAGAGATAAAAGACTATTATACCTAGAGGGGCATGACCTACAACTTGGATGGCATGCCTTTCTGTGGTATGGGAAGAATAAAATACATAGATACTTTCAAAACCACTTTGTAAGAAACACACTTCTTCTAGAATGGCAAAAAATAAAAGTGAAAATTTATATCAAGATACCTAGATGGCTTTCAACAATGGAAGCATTTGTTTACCCAAATTTAATTAATTATGACAAAGTTGTGACCTATAAAGGTATTTTGGACAATGAAGGGAAATTGAAAGACAGATAAGATTTACAGGAACAAGGTATTAATCTATCATGGTGGCCATATTTGCAAATTCAAATGAGATATGAAAAAGATGCCAAAACAACGGGATTCTATAAAGAACAGACAAAATTTAACCAGATACTGCTAAAAACAGACGAAAAACTCATTTAGAAACTTTATAAATATTTCTTAAGCTTAAAGATGGAAAAGGAACAAGTAAAAGAAACAATGATAATATGGACAAAGAACTTTGAACTAATATAGGGCTAGAAAATTGGCAAAGTTTATGGGAAAGAAATGCTAAACTAATGAAAGCAGCGGCATATAAAGAAAACTTATATAAAATGTTTTACAGATGGCATTTAGCACCGGTGAGATTAGCGAAAATGTTTAAAAATATGTCAAATAAGTGTTGGAAATGCAAACAAAAAACAGGTACTTACTTCCATATCTGGTGGACATGCCCTAAAACTAAATGATTTTGGTCAAAAATACATCTATGGTTAGGAATATCTATTATTTTTGTTAGGAATAATAGGAGCAAATTATGAGAAAGACTGTATATACTTAATTTTACATGTATGAACTGCAGCAAGAATTGTATTTCCCCAATACTGGAAAAATGAAAATCTACCAACAGAAGAAGAATTAATTAAGAAAATCTTAGATTGTGCAGAAATGGACAGATTGACATTAAAGATAAAAGAGAAGGAAGACTCAGCGTATTTTAGAACATGGGATAATTTTTATCAATGGCTAGAAAAATGTGTTAGAGAGAAAGGAATGTGATATGTGACATTGGATATATATTAGTAAGAAGACGACTATTGAGCAATTAATTAACATATTGTTTATGATAATTAACTATTATTCCTTGTTTTTTAAATACATGATGTGGTTCCCATCTTCAAAAAAGGGGGGGGGAAACAGATCCAGGCAGCTACAGACCAATCAACCTGACATGAATACCTGGGAAGAACTTGGAAAAGATGTTCCCAGAACATCTAGATGCTTCTAGATGTTCTGGGAACATCTAGAAGCAAGCAAAGTTATAACCAAAAACCAACACAAGTTTTTCAAAAACAGATCATGCCAAACAAATCTTATTTCATTCTTTGACAAAGTGACTAAATCAATGGACCAGTGAAATACAGTGGACATAGTATACTTGGATTCATTAAGGCAGAGATCCCCAACCTTTTGGGCATCGGGGACCAGTTAGGTGGAGAGAGGTTTTTCTGCAGATCGGAGGAAGTGTGGTTGTATGTGCTGCCTGCATCCTGCAGATGGGGTTTTGCTTGTTTGTGCTGACCATTGCTGGCATGCTGTGGCCCAGTACAGACCGGGGGTTGGGGACCCCTGCATTAAAGGCATTTGACACAGTAGACTATGACCTACTTTTTGATAAACTAAAAAAAATGTGGGATAGACAGTATCACCACCAGATGGATTTGTAACTGGCTGACCAACTGTACTCAACATGTAATCCTTAATGGAATGACATCTACATGGAGAGAAGTAAGCAATGGAATACCCCCAGATTTCATTTTAGGCCTAGTACTCTTCAACATCTTCATAAATTATTTCAATGAGGGAATAGAAGGGAAACTCATCAAATTTGCAGGCAACACTAAACTGGCAGGAATAGCCAACACCCCAGAAGATAGGCTCAAGATTCAGATGGATCTCAACAGACTTTAACACTGGGCCCTATCTAACAAAATGAAATTCAAAGTTGAGAAAAGTAAGGTTTTACATTTAATGCAAGAAAAATCAAGCTACAGATTAGGTGAAACTTCTTCAATAGGAGTAACTGTGAGAGGGATCTTGGAGTCCTAGTAGACAACCACTTAAATATGAGCTAGCAGTGTGCAGCAGCAGCCAAAAATGCCAATGCAATCTTAGGTTGCATTAACAGAGGGATAGAATCAAGAGCATGCGAAGTATTTGTACTGCTTTATAAAGCCTTAGTAAAAGCATACTTAGAATACTGCATCTAGTTTTGATCACCATATTATAAAAAAGATGTTGAGACTCTAGAAATAATGCAGAAAAGAGCAACAAAGATGAATAGGTGGGTAGAGGCTAAAATATATGAAGAACAGTTGCAGGAATTGAATATGTCTACTTTAATGAAAAGAAGGACTAGGGGTGACATGATAGCAGTGTTCCAATATTTGAGGGGCTGCCACAGAGAAGATGGGGTCAACCCATTCTCCAAAGCAGCAGAAGGCAAGACAGGAAACAATGGATGGAAACTAATCAAGGAGAGAAGCAACCTAGAACCAAGGAGAAATTTCCTAACAGTGAGAACAATTAACCAGTGGAATGTCTTGCCTTCAGAAGTTGTGGGTGCTCCATCACTGGAGGCTTTAAGAAGAGACTGCATAGCCACTTCTCTGGAATTGTATAGTTTTCTGCTTGAGTAGGGGATTGGTCTACAAGACTTCCAAGGTCCCTTCCAACTCTGTTATTCTGTTACTCTATGATTGTAATAGCTGCTTCTGTTGAAACAACATGTGACAACAGGGCTTATTCTTCAGGGGATCAGACATTTTTTATGTCTTTCCTTAAAATTATTTGCTAGTGCTTCTTAGAACAGGACAATATGTAGCCATATCCCTTCATGTATTTACAGAAGTAGGCTCACAAAGAGCCACTGTGAGGCAGCCTTGCTTGTTTGCCATTCTTGAAATAAAACCACCAGTTCTACTTTCCTGTCACATTATAATGATAGATCTGATGTCTTAGAAATATAATTGACAATCTCCCAAGTTCCAATTTTTTGGGATTATGCTTTTAATTGATCATTTTATCTAAACCTTAAAAAGCCCCTTCTTCAGTATTTATGCTTATTTTTTTCAGGAAGCAGCCAAACAAGCCAACAACCCGAGCCACATCTAAAAGTCAGAATCCATCCCCAGCTCTTCCTTCAAATCGTCAGAAATTAGTAGAGAAAAAGCAATCATCTGCCACTGCAAAAGTGAACAAAAGTCCTCGCTTGGCCCTGTAAGTGGAAAGAAAAGTAACTTGAGATTCTCCTCCTTCCTTTTGTTTGATCATTACTATCCAAAATGGTGCCACAGTATTGGTGGGATAACTACAGGACACAATGTTTATTTCTGTTATGCTCTAGAAGCACCTGGCTGTCCATAACTGGATATCAGATATGATCTGGCAGGGGGCTTTTCTGTTACTGTGCTTAAAAAGATAGCTTCCAGCATTTATCAGAATTTGGAGAAAAATATCTTTTATCTTAGAGAATTTTAATTTCTCTGTTGGTGAAAAATAAATCAGAAGCTCTCACAGTTGACCGCATTTAGCTGATTCAAAATAACTTCTTTATATTTATATCAAAATATTTACAATACCATACATTCTTCTTTACTGCAACATAGCTCAAATGAAGACTTCTTACAGAGAGATACAGACCTGAGACTGAAAATTCAGCTTCTAACTCAATACCCTTTTGCACAGACTCAGTAGCACTTTCTTCACATTGGCTGACTGAGTTATCACATGACTCTTCCTGCTCATGAATATTCCAACAATCTTGTTTATTTTTTCATTCATATAAAATATGAGCTTCTACTTTGCTCAGTACAGTTTATTTACTTTTGTAACATCATAGGTCAGAACCCAAAAATCTTAGGATCTGTATTTCTCTGGAGCAGCCTTATGGGGTAGAAACCCTTATTAACAAGTGGCAGTCCAGAGTTCATTTTAAGATGAAGGTGGTATTGACCACAGGAAAAGCCAGATACCCAGGCAATTTTGGAAGTTGAGCATGGAAGATAGTTCCTCATGCTAACCAAAACAAAAGAATGATCCATAGGAACAGGAAATAAGCTTTATAAGACAAGTCTCCCATGGCTCAGGCAGGTACTAAATTGTGCATGAATCTGTAGTGCTCAGGATCCAAAAAGATCTTGACAGACTTGAACAATGGTCCCTATCCAACAAAATGGAATTTAATGTGAAGAAATGCAAGGTTTTGCACTTAGGCAAGAAAACCCAAAGGTACAAGTACAGATTAGGCAAAACAATAACTGTGAGAGGGACGTTGGAGTCCTAGTGGACAATCATTTAAATATGAGCCAGCAGTGTGCAGCAGCAGCCAAAATAATTAATACAATCCTTGGTTGTATAAACAGAGATATAGAATCAAAATCATGTGAAGTATTAGTACTGCTTTAATAAAACCTTAGAAAGGCCACACCTGGAATATTACATCCAGTTTTTGTCACCACATTACAAACATTACTAACAGTGAGAACAATTAACTAACATAACAACTTGCTGTCAGAAGTTGTGGGTACTCCATCACTGGAGGTTTTTAAAAAGAGAATGGACAGCCACTTGTCTGAAAATGCATGGGGTCTTCTGCTTGAGCAGGGGTTTGGACTAGAAGACCTCCAATGTTCCTTCCAGCTGTATTCTGATTGATTGAATCTAAATGTAATTGTTGTATTCATTGGGCTAAAGAGGAAGGATGCCCAGGATATGCAGTCTCCAGAGTCTCTTATAGTTGAGGCAGTTCATAAATACAATAAGCCAGTAAGCAAGCATAACTATAACAATATGCTGTATCATTTTATTTTGTCAAAAAATGGAAGCTGGAGCATTTAAGCAGAACTCTCATGGAAGAATTCAGTTTTTATAGGATTCAGAGGTCAAGGAGGTCTGATGGGAAGAGTAGAAGGAGGCATCCAGATGTTTGGGATCTGTCAAGTGGAAAGCTCTGGAGTTCTACATCCATGTCTTTGCTGTGAATTGCATAGGTTGCAGTGGATACAAATGAGAAAATGGAGCGGAATCAAGATAGCCAGGGACAAAAAGTGGTAGCAGACACTTTTCCAAAGATGCTCTTGATGATGAGGAGCAGCCAAGCAAGCCTCGTCAGGTAGCTAGAATAGCAGTTTGGCACTACATTCTCTTGCTTCCCAATTTAGCCAGGATTCCAACAATGGGGTATTGTTGGGGACTCTCTTTCAAAGCAGGCTATGGGTCTAGTCACTGGATTCCATGCTTACTAAAAATAATTACCTTTTTTATTTGTTTTGATATTTTCAGCTCAAAATTTCAGCCCACCAAACGCAGAAGGGAAGCGAGTCCTCCAGTGTCCCGAAAGAAGGATCACCAGAGGGCCGTTGAGACTGACATGAAAAAGTCGAAGCGATAGTTGGAACCCATGTCAGTGGGGATTCAGGGTGGGAGGGAACTATCTCTGTTCTATAAAGCTTGAGGAGGGGAACTGCATGTGTGTATTTCCAAGATGTAACTTATAATACACATGTAATATTTTAAACAGTTTTATAAACTATTTGTTTAGCAGAAGATAGTATGAATTAGAGAAGGTTTCTTTGGGTCCAGGAGGAATTCACTGTTGCTTCCAATCCACTCTTTACTAGTCGCCTCTTAACACCTTTTGTATATAAAACATTTATTTAAAAAAGACTGTACTTTACTGTGTATGAACATAATGGGAACATTTTATTGAACCGCAAGACCTGGTATTATATCATCTTGTTTTAACTGGATTATTAAATGTTGTGCTGCCATGCTTAGTGCTGGGTAGGACTAGGAGAAGGAAGTGGGAAGCTAATTTGGCTCAGAACATTCTCACGTGTTTGGGTCAAGTAGGTAGGCATAAGGAGAGATTTGTTACTTCTCTTGTTGTGTTTGTAACTTTCTCTATGCTAAGAGTTAAGAATGGCATTTACAGTGTTGAGTTCAACGTGCCCTTTCTTTTGGAAATGTATTCTCACATAAAATTTCTCCCAGTGTCCCAGCTAGAACACAGTAAAAGAAGAATTTTCAGCTGAAGAGCACATCATCTTTCTATGGAGTTCTTAATTGTTCTTCTCCCAGTGCTTTTATTTCTCCATAGAAAAATGGAAAACAAAAAGGACTGAAAAGATTGGCAACATGCCTACTTTATCCACTAGTATTAAAGAAGTAGAATCTGGTTAGTTGTTTTAGTAGACTTGCATTTTACTCTCTCAAGAACAAATCTTCAATTTGAGTTCCATGTAAAGCTTTTTTATTGTTAATCACATTTGTCTCTTGCAAAAACATAAGTTGCCAAATATTCTGAGATTATTTTAAAATGTTGATATTCATCTTTTATAACTGAAACCAACATTGATTTTAATTGGTTTTTGTTTTGTTTTGGTTTGGTTTGGTTTGGTTTGGGGGTCTTTTGTTGTACTGAAGATATTTCTGTCAAATATTCTAGTTTGTTTCTTATTTGAATGTTTATATATAAATTACAAAATGTTTCCAAACTAGAGTCTCAGTATTTGAATTGTTAGATTTTTGCATGTATTTGTAGTCTACACTCAAAGGTTGTCACCCCAAACATTTCTGAATACTATTGATGTTTATGCAAACTAAGCACAAGTTGAAATCTGTGATGCTCTGAGCCCAGCAATTTGATGGCCCTTTGTTTAGGATTAGGCTCAAGAAACAGAAGTTACAGCATGGGTCAATCATGTTCATCAGGAGGTCTGTAGGATATAATCGAAATAAAAATGGTGGCCATGAGAGTATAGTCAAAACTTTGCCTGATTTTTATATGCAAAGCTTCAATCACATTATTGTGGCTGCCATTTTGACCTTTTTGATGATATTCTGTGGATGCCCCTGCATTTCAAGTAGAAGTTCTTAATCCTTTTCTATTTTTAATTATGGCAGATTAAAACTGTTATCAGTTTAATGATGCGCTATGGACATTTTTTATCTTTTATCTCAGAGGTGTCAAACTCAGTTTCATTGAGGGCTGTGTTAGCATTATGGTTACCATTAAAGGGCCATATGGGCATGGCTGGGTAGGTGTGGTTGGGTGGTAACAGTCAAGTTGCACAACTAGATGTGGTGGTTGGGCATGGCCGGCTCAACACCACTCAGTGCAGCTGACTCTTTATGGCCAGGTGGGCGTGATTAAGGACCCACCCCACTTTGCATCTTAAGAAGACAGAACTCTTGGAATATTTCTTCCAACAGGCAACCTTTATTAAGAGAAAATTATTGCAGGCATTCTAGACAGGACTTGGGGGCCAAGCCCTATGGTTCAAGGTTTTAAGGGGTTCCCAGCAACCCCACCCTACCCCACCATCCTTCCAGTGACAATCCCAGGCGTTATATTTCCACCCCCTTTTTCCTCACTGCCGGTGGAAGGGAGACTTCAGAGAGGAGTAGATGAAAGCTGATGGCCCCATTGTTATGATTTAGTCCTTTTGGTGGTATCCACATTCAATCCCTTTGAAGTTGTACTGAAGGAAGTGAGGGCCATAAAACCCCTTTGTTCACCCCCATTCCCCTTCATCATATGACAGAATCCAGAGAGGGCAGAAATGGGGTTTTCCATAGTCGATAACTAGAGATGAAATATAATTGGATTCTGACATCCTGCCCCCTTAAAAATAAGATAGATCCACCTGAAAGAAAAACAAAACAGGTATAAAATTTAGTCAGGCTTGTTAGGATACTCTGTGTGAAACTTCTTTAATAGCTTTGGGACTCTGACATGACATTTATGGACCCACTCATTTTGTGAGGCAGGGAGGTATTTCCATGCAACTAGGTACTGAGTCACTCCATGATATCTCCTAGAGTCTAGGATTTCCTTTATTTTGAAGTGTTTTTCGCCCTCCACCATGATTGGAGGTGGTGGGGGGGATTTTTGACTGTAAAGGTGACTGGTGCTCTCTTTTCAGCAAGCTGCAATGAAAAATTGGGTGTATTTGCCTGAGATTTTGGGGTAATTCTAATTCTACTGTTACTGGGTTTATGATTCTTTTAATTGGAAAAGGCCCTATATATTTGGTCCAAGCTTTTTACAGGGTTGTAGGGACTTTAGCTATTTTGTAGATAAGTACACCATTTCTCCTATAATGAATGGTGTAGGCTCAACCCTTTTTTTATCGGCTTGTGCTTTGTATGCCTGCCTAGCTTCATCTAGTACTTTTCTAACTATTGGCCAGGTGTTTTGTAATTGTTCTATCCATTCTTTCAGTAATGGGATCGCCGGTTCGTTTGGGGTTAATTCTGGCATGGGATTGAAACTTTGACCGGTGGCTATTTGAAAAGGAGTGTAACCTGTGCTGGAGTGGACTGCATTATTGTAGGCAACTTCTGCGAAAGGGAGTAGGTCCATCCAATTTGTTTGCTGAAAATTAATAAAACATCTTAAATATTGTTCAAGTACTGAGTGACAACGTTCTGTTTGTCCATCCCCTTGTGGATGGTGGCTAGATGTCAGTCGCTGAGTGGTCCCTAAGAGGGATAAAAATTCCTTCCAAAATGTAGATGTAAATTGCACTCCCCTATCAGAGATGATGCGTTGGGGTGCCCCATGCAATTTACAATGTGCTGGACGAAAAGTTTTGCTAAGGCAGTGGGAATCTTTTGGCAAAGGATAAAGTGCACCTATTTGGAAAACAAGTCTGTGACCGTCCAGACAACAGTATTCCCATTGCTTTCTGGTAATTCCACTATAAAATCCATGGCTATTTCCCTCCAGGGGCTGAGGGATTTGCCACTGTTTGTAACAGTCCGGGCAATTTCCCTTGCAACCTCTTTGCAGTTGCACACTTTGGGCAGCTGGCCACGTAACTTTCTATGTCCCTTTTTTATGGATGGCCACCAAAATTGCCGTTTAATTAAGTGTAATGTTTTTACAAATCCAAAATGCCCTGCTGATCTTGTGTCATGGCAAAACCAGTGCCTCAGTACTGGTTCGGCAGAGAAAAGTCTCTTTAATCTCTCAAATGCTGCTTGGCACTCCATTGTCCATGTTAGTGGCTGGCTAGGTTTTACTGAGGATGCTCCCTTCATTTTTAGTAAGTTCGTGAGGGGCAGGGCTATCTGGGCAAATGAGGGGATGAATTGGCGGTAAAAGTTTGCGAAGCCCAGGCAACTTTGCAGTTTCTTTCTTGTGCAGGGTGGTGCCCAATCTAATACTGCTCTGACCTTCTCTGGGTCCATTTCAATGCCCTGTGGGGATATGCGATTACCTAGGGTAGTTTATCCTTTCCTGGTGGAATTTGCATTTCGAAAGTTTGGCATATAGGTGAGCGGCTCGCATGGACATGTTCCTCTTTTGATTCGGTGAAGATAAGAATGTCGTCTAAGTAAACCAGGACCCCCTTAAATAGGTGCTCCCTTAGAATGTCATTGATTAATTGAATAAATACTGCGGGGGCCCCTTGTAATCCAAATGGCAAGACTTTGAATTGATAGCACCCCATGGGGCAGTTAAATGCGATCTTCCATTCATCCCCTTCCTTAGTAAGCTTCCCTTAGGTCTACTTTAGAAAGCTTCCTTTAGATCTACTTTAGAAAAAAAAATTCCCTTTTGAGAGGTGTGACAACATGTCCTTCATGAGGGGCAGAGGGTATGGGTTGCTTTCACTGATTGTATTCAGGGCCCTATAATCCACGCATAAGCGTAAAGAGCCATCCTTCTCTCTAAAGAGGACTGGGGCAGCCACTTTAGGCTTGGCTGGCTCAATGAACCCCCTTTCTAGGTTTTTTTTAATGAATCTTTCCATTTCCTCCTTCTCCTTTGGGCTCATGGTGTATAATCTGGGCTTCGGAACTTTTGCCCCAGGCTTGAATTCAATGGCACAGTCTGTGGGTCGATGGGGGGGGAGCTCATCCGCCCTCTCCTCACTGAAAACTTCAGCACAGTCTCTGTATTCCTCTGGTATTTCTGGTAGTCCCTTTTCCTCTCCCATGGATGCTTTTTCTGTTCGTGATTTTGGTAGCCCTTCTTGGGATTTTAAGTCCATAGGATCCCCCTTCGGGAATTTGATTTCTGCCGTCCTCCAATTCACCCAGGGGTTCCATTTTTTTAACCATTCCATCCCTAGGATCATTGGGCATTCCATGCCTGGGGTCACCACAAACGTTATGTCTTCCTCATGTTTGCCCAGGGAGAGGTGTATTGGTAAAGTGGCTAGGGTAGCTGCCCCCCCCCGCTATGGACCCATCTAACTGGCCAAATGAGATTGGTTGTTCCAGTCTCCTCAACGGAATGCCCAGATTCCCCACTAGCGTCGGGCTAATGAGGCAGTGGGTGCAGCCAGAGTCTATTAATGCTTTCACCTTCACGGCTTCGGGCATGGGGGGAATTAATATAGTCACTGTCTTGAGGATGAGTGCGATGCGTCCACTTACCAGGGGTTTGCCCTCTGAGCTGTCATCGGAGGCGTCCACCGGCCCTGTGGTGTAGGCTGGAGTTCTTTCCCCCTGATGAGCAGAGGTGGGGGATTCCACAGCCTCCATCATTCTCATGGCAGGTTCTTTTGGCTTAGCTGGAGACTTTCCAGATTTGCTGGCCGGTGATCTGTCTGGGTTGTGCTGGGGGGCTTTTGAGCAGCATTCTATAGCCTGATGCCCTTCTCTCCCGCACTTGAAACACCCCATTGCTCCTTGGCCATAGCCGATGGTTTCACTGGTTCGCGTGTCAACTCAGGCAGTGAGCGGCTCCATTGTTTTCCTCAGCGGTGCCTCTTCAATATGTCGACCTCTGCTTCCTCTGCCAAGACGTACCATTCCTCAAGTTGGTGTGGGTCCCCTCGGGGCAGGCAAGCGTCATATAGGTCATAATTTAGTCCGTCTTTGAAATGGCTAAGGAGGATGTCTTCCGGCCAGTTCAGTTTGCTGGCAATGGCCCGGAATTCTTGCATATATTCGGCTACCGGGCGTTTGCCTTGCCTCATTGTTTTTATCCTTTTGCGGGCTTTGCGATCAGCTAGGGGTCCTCAAATCACCTTCTCAGAGAGGACATGAAATGGTTGAAGTCGTTGAGCTCTGGGGCATTGGAGTTGTGCAAGTTCACCACCCAATCTGCGGCCAGCCCGTCCAGGGCAGATTGCACAATCTGGATACAGGCTTCGTCGCTGGGGATGTCCTGCCCGTATTCCTTCATGTAGCTGAGGACTTGGGTTAGGAAAAACCCCAAGCATGTTGGCTCCCCCTTGAATTTCACTTCCAGCAGCGGGAGTCTTTGAATGGACCGATGCCTTCATTGTCGATGGTAGTGGTAGTGTCTTCCATCCAGATCGCCATCTGTGGGTCAGCGGGGAATGGGGACTACTGGATCAGCAGATGTCCCCGGGGCTGCAGGTTCCACTTCCACCTCGGTGTCTCTCCCTTTGCGGCTCCAGGAGCTGGGGCAGCTGTAGGGCTCAGAATTCTCCTCTCCTAGGGAGCTGACAGTTTTCTTCATCAGGTCAATAGCTTTCTCTAGGATCCAGCTCGAGTACGGTGCCCAGCTCCCTTCCTCTTCACTTGCATGCAGGGATTTCTCCATCTCCGGCTTCCATTCTGGTTGGTTGGCCCCCCATCTCAGGGTCACCTTTCTTGATTTCTTTTCCCACTCGCCTTTCTTTCCAATGTCCATTGAGCACTGAGGTTTGTGGTCCCGTGTCTCCACCACTTCTTCTCCTGAGGAATCTGACCTCTCAGATCCCGACATCTGGCAGGGTTTCAGTTGGGGCAGCGGCTCCCTTTCTGGGGAGTTTTCTCCCTTCCTTGTTCCGTTGTCTGACACGGTAATTTTTGCAAAGTCCCCCGGCAAGGTTCTCCCTTCCAGGTGGACTAATTCTGCAAGTCCTGTCTAATGTAAGGACCCACCCCACTTTGCATCTTAAGAAGACAGAACTCTTGGAATATTTCTTCCAACAGGCATCCTTTATTAAGAGAAAATGG